AGTTTTTGATAAATAATATTTCGTTCGGCGTTGATTTGAACATTCTTCAACGCCGAGTTAGCTTCTTGCTTGGGGAATAGAGAGCAATAATTGCTATCAAACTAAAAGATTATTTTAAACGCATATAGACCATGAAGGGAGTGGTGTTCGATCGCAATACGTACTTGAGCAAATATTGCTAATTGAGCATTGCGTTTAACAATGAGGCCGATAAAAACGTTGAGCCTAAACATAGTAAGCTAATTAACTGTTTTAGGTTACACTTGATGACTCAAATTGCAATTTTAAAGTTTGAAGCTGGGGGTAGTTGGGCTTGACAACTAGTGAAATTATATTTTCAACAGACGTTTACATAATAGTAGGTATGGTACAAAAGTTTTTGAATTTTTCAACATTGGTAGAGAAAATCCGTTTCCAACTCTTTAAAGCAGTTCCAATTCAGTTTACATAGGAATTTCCAGGAGACATCGACGGTATGCTTGCTGCTCGCATAGGAGCCGTATTCATGCCTCATGGTCTCGGTCACCTACTTGGGCTTGATGTTCATGACTGCGGAGGATATCTTGGAGTAATTCTTTTTTCAGATTAAGGGGATCAATCTTTACTTTTTTTGAAAACAATCTTTGTTTAGGACGCCACACCTCGATCGAATCTTCCAGGATTGAGTTCATTACGAACAACAAGAACACTGAGGGAGAGAATGGTATGTGTCTTGAATTTCTTTCGTTAGAATTCAACTGAGTATGGTTTCTTCCGATTTTGATTAGTGGGTTAGTGCGCAGCGCATCTCTGCAATTGTACTGATAATGCTGTTTTTGGTCATTGGTTAGGCTAAAGATCGATCGACCAAAAATCTGACCAATGGTCAAAGTCTGTAGCACGAGCGATTCCTCTACTTGCGAACGTCAGTCATAATTGCTATAAATTATGAGTGCTTTAAATGTTGTAGCGAAGATATCCAGTTTCACGTGTTTTTATCAAAAACATCTCCACACGCTATACTTTTAACAAGTATTGCCTTCAGGTCATCACCATTGAACCGGGTTGTTATTTCATTGACACGCTACTTGATGCCGCATTGAATAATCCCGAACAGGCCAAGT